ATAAGGTTGAGAAATAACAAAAAAAAAATTATGGGAAAATTAAAACCCATTTTGTCCCTATTCTCAAGAATCACTGGTTTATATAAATCTGGAGGAAGCCAGGTTGTTTACATGTAGGCAGGAAGACGAATGTATTTACGATTCATAAATAAATTTGCTTTATTGGACTTAATGCCCAACCAGGGACTGGTGCTGTGAATTAGCTGTTGGTGCAACAAATCCGTTACAGACTCGTTCTGTTCTGTGTTTGTGTCAATGAACCAATAAATGAACTGAAACTGAAGGTGTTCAAAGTATTCAGTTGTGCGTCACGTATTTCTGCTCAGAGGTTTATGCTTTCAGCTCATGCTGCTTCCCTCCCAGCAGAAATGTGAAGACAACTTGTTCCAGCAAGAACACTGATCCAAATCTCAACAGGGCCAGTAGAGACGCATCCCAACCTTCTCCCTCCTCCTCTGCTTCACTTCTTATAAAACTCTGTGGACACTTTAAGGCTCGCAGCTCCCTCAGAGTTAGTGCTGCACAGGGCCATTTTACCCCATGCTGTGACTGCGGCCTCTGCTGCACATTGACGGTGATTATTGGTGCATGATGTGTGCATGGCGCCCTCTGGCAGTCGTTTCCTGTTCCTGCAGGCGTCAGCAGCTCCTGTCCTGCTGGACGGCTCCAGCACCTGACTCTCCTCCTGGGCAGGTCAGCAGTTTCTCTTGCAGAGATTCATCCAGAAGCTGCTGACCTGCTGGAGTCTCTCCAACAGGTGCAGAACGTGTTCACACCTGAGGCGGCTGGCAAGAGGCCAAGCTGTTCCTGTAACATCTGAGGTCTTTCTAGAGAAACGAACCCGGAGGAGGAGGAAGAGGAGAGGGAGGAGGAGGAAGAGGAGTTTTGTTGATTATAAAAGGACTAACTGACAGATCTCCAACCCTAAAGCCAGATCACCTGTTGCTCTGTTCTCCGTCTGATCGGAAGGTTTTCTCCAGAACTCGTGAGGTAAAGTTGGTTTGTTATTTTGTTTGTATCTTTTAATTCATGTAAAGCACTTTGAATTGCTTTGTTGCTGAAAATGTCATATATAAATAAAATTACCTTACCTACCTTCATTTTGCCTTTAATATCACAGTTTTGTGTTTGAAGCATGATGCATAAATCTCTCTTATTGACTACCGTATTTTCCGCACTATAAGGCGCACAGGATTATAAGAGGGCAGAGTTACGTTATGCATCCACTAGATGGAGCTGCACTAAAGGGAATGTCAACAAAACAGTCCGACTCCGGTTGGCAAGGAGAGTCTTCCATGACTGGACCGGGGCGTGGCCGGACGATGGCCACCCTTCTCGGTTCGCGCACAGCATGTTGGTGGAGAACGTGGTGCTAAATGACCTGTAGACGACCTGATTCTAGACGGTCGGTAGGTAGATAAGTCAGTCAAACTTTATTAACAAACCAGCATTCTGACAACTATCCCAACATGCACCGCGCGCTTCTTCTTCTACGGGCGAAAATGAAGTTGGCGGCTGCTTACCGTAGATGCTAGACCTGTTGTAGCTCAATATTGGTCCATATATAAGACGCACTGGATTATAAGGCGCACTGTCGGCTGTTGGGGAAATTTAAGGTTTTTAGGTGTGCCTTATAGTGCGGAAAATACGGTACTTTCATTGGAAACATCAACTTCCTTATTAAGATTTGCAGGAATAATCAGGTGAAACCAAATGAAGCAGGAAGCTGGACGAATCCCTCTGTGGTGAGGGAACGCTGGTCTGATCCGCATCATAATGTTGATCTTGTTTCTTAAGCAGCGTCTTCACAGTGACTGGATCCTCATCGAGCCTCAGCGCCGACACCAACTGGTCCTGTTTGAAAAGTAATCAACCTCTAACCCCTACTAACGTCTCCTGTCCGGTACTGGCAGGGTGCAACCCAACAGATTTACTTTCACTAGTGGAGCGTGACAGCTTTTACTGGATTAGAAATGACTTTGGGTTTGCAAAGATGTAAAAGACATGGAGACAGAAAACAAAGGGAGGAAGGTGATAATAAGTTATCAATAGTCACCCAGTGTTACTAGCTCAGCAACTTTCTTGCTATATTGAGCAACATTTCAGACATTAAAATGGTTCAGATGCTCCTTGCTTCAGGTGACTTCAGTTGATAGGTGTTTGCTGAAGTGCAATCAGCCGAATCAGGGAAACGTGTGAAACATGCAGGGCGGTGAAACGCTGCATGTTTAGCAGATCACAAGTTAAACGAGATGTTTTAGAGGGAGCTGCAGCCCAACGAGGAGCGTGTCAGACACACGGGAATCTAAATCAGCCTGACGCACTAACTGGTTGCTTTGGGCTTGGACTAGTTAGTCGCTTTCTCCTCTACTGGATCTCTGGATCAGAGCTTAGAGATCTATCAGCCTACTTCATGTTGTCAGCGGGCCAGCTATACGCTGGAGCAAAAGGGGGCAGTGCCCCCTGAATCAAACGTCTTGCCCCCTCTTGCCACAAATAACGGAACATCTCCTTTATCCGAGGTTCTGCTGCGCACCGTGCAGAGCAGGTTGCAGTCAGGCTGCAGCTGAAACTACTCAGCCGCTAGTAAACAGCCAATCAGCATTCAGTATTCAAACGAGCCTCACGGCAGCGAGATCCCGCCATAGACAAAATAAGGATAGACCCTCATGCACCGCTCTCGCCTATTGTCGCTGACGAGATTTAGGGCG